TCTAACAAAATGCTGAAGGGTCCCAGGGTGGGGAGTGGAGTGGAGCCCTCCCTGGGACACTCAACATTTAAAAAAAAAAAAATTTTTTTTTTAATCTTTATTTTTGAGAGAGTGAGAGAGAGACAGAGTGAGAGCAGGGGAGGCACAGAGAGAGAAGGAGACACAGAATCCAAAGCAGGCTCCAGGCTCCGAGCTGTCAGCACAGAGCCCGACGCGGGGCTTAAACCCATGAACCGTGAGTTCATGACCTGAGCCGAAGTCAGACGCTTAACCGACTGAGCCACCCAGGCGCCCCTGGAACACTCAACATTTAACTGTAGTCTGAGTTAAAGCTGGCAACCAGGAGAACTGGATGTTCCTGAGAAGGTGGTCGGTCCTTGAAGCACGAGGGAGGAGTCCATTGTGGTGACTTCAGCTAAGACTCTGGGGAGCCAGCATGTGCTTTGGCTCCGCTCTTGTAAATCTCCGGGGACTGCGGTGCTGTACTGTGGCCAGAACAGGAGGTGAGGAGGCGACTATAGGGAAGTCTCAAGGCTTTTGCCATGAAAAGAGAACAGTGGGGCAGGAGCTAGGGGGGCACATGGGGAACGGAGGAGGAGCCTGGGGCTTCTGACCCATCGTTTCTGTGTTCTTTAAAGATGAGGTGAGGCCATTGCTGAGGGGGCAGGGGCACAAAAGGTTAGAGGATGAGCCAAGGGCCAGGCAGCGAGCACTGCAAGGGGCCTGGAGATGAAGCGTGGCGGAGGTTGCTGAGCAGAGACCTTGTCTCTGGGGTGCAAGTAGCTGGGCCCCAGGCAGGGATCTGCCAGGGCGAAAGAAGTTGTCCAAAAGTGGAGGAGTGAGAGTTGGACCAGAAGATGGAGGCAGCCTTTCTGTGCTAGAGATCCCAGTTGGGGACCACTTTGTTCTTCCCACACAGCCCTGGCCTGGGATTGAGGAAGGGAGGGCTCCTCTCTGCTGGGGCCAAGGCCAGGGCCAGGGAAAGGGTCTGGAGGGAGTGTGTGGGTAGAGCTGTTCTGGGGTCAGTTATCTATCAGAAACCCTTCCCTGCCTGTTCCTTAAATCAAGCTGGCCATTCTCCATCAACTCCACCCCCCAGGGCCCAGGGCTCCCAAGGTCCCCAGTGTCAGAGGGTTGTACAGGCAGCTCCGAACCCGGTTCAGAACATGATGTTCCCACCAGGGCAGGGGCAGGACTCAGGTCCCCCACAACCCTACCTCCTCCCCTGCATCCATAGCTCTGGGAAGTATGCCAGTTGGGGAGGGGCTGGCTGCAAATCACTCCCGATTTTGTTGTTGTTGTTATGGAACAAAAGGCAGGAAAATTACCAAGAAAAGGCTCCCACAGGACCAAGATGGAGGCAGCTCCTAGCACATTGTCCTGGACACACACCTCGTCCTCACCATGTCCAGGCTGCGAAGAGCCACAAAGGACACTGGAAATTCCCATTGTGCTGGAAGGCCGCCTGGTCTCAGCGAGCCCTACTCTGGCACTCTTAATGTACCTTTGCCTTCACTTTGTAAACCTGGCCCATGACCAGTTCCCAGGCGCAAGGCTAGCCCTCCTGGGATATAAAACTAGCTTTATCCATTTTTCAGGTATGAGAATAACTCACATAGGTTTTCAGTTGTGAGGCCAGTTCTCTGTCAGGGAGTGGGCCTGCTTTTTGCTGTGAGCCAGAGATGCCCAGCTTAAAGTGATCACAAGGGAGAGACCATACCAGCCACTGAACCCCAGCCCCCTACTGTGGTTGGGCCTAGGCCCAGCCCAGGCAGGTGAGGGGCCAGACTGGAATTCCACTGGGCCAAGGCATGTAGGCAAAGCCAAGGGCAGCGGAGTGGATGCCCTCCAATAGCCTGCTTCCTTCTTTACAGAGGAGGAAGCCAAGGTGCTGGAGGGTCTCCAACTCCTCATCTGACCAGCCTTAGCCTGGAGCTGCCAGTCCAGTGGAGCCATCTTGAGTTCTGAAGGGTCAGTGCCCTGAGTTGGGGGGCTGGGGGTCATGTGCTTTCTGTCTCCCAGCTCTGTCCTGGTTAGGAGAGCACTCTGGCTTCCAGAGCTGGAAGCTTCAACAGCCCCTCATCTGGGGTCATATGAATCTGTATGTGGCCTCATTTTGCATCCTGGGCATGGGGCTGTGGGCCAGCTCTGGGACAGGACGCCAGGAGTCCAACGTGGCTCATGTGCGATTCCATCTTGCTTGGGATTGATGCACATCTGCCCCAAAGGCCTCTGCCCCGATTGTCCTACAGATCCGAGCCTCAGCATCAGGTCCCCCACTCCTCCAGCTGCCCAGGCTGGGCTCATGGCAGGCATGGGAGAGTGTGCTGCAGATGTCCCATCGAGCCTAGGCCTTTCACTTTCAAAATGAAAATGTCCAGGCTAGCTATGCTTGGATGTTATGCTGGAAAGTGCTGGTTTGCTTGTCTGGTGGGTCTAGACTTAAGCTTTTCCTTTTTACCAGTTTGCCAGAAAAATAACCGACTGCAAATCCCTGCTTCCTCATTCTGGGGGCCTGAGGACCTGGCCAGAAAAGAGATTGCTGGATCTGGCTTTCTGCAGAGTACACAGTGACTTTTGACCCTTGGCTCAGTGCAATTCTGCACAGGGAGGAAGTGGTAGGGCGATGGCCAAGAAGGCCATGGAGATTTGGCTGGTACTATTTAGACCTCCTACTCCAACAGCTGACCGGCAAATGCCCATCCTTCTGCCTATCAGGATGGACTGATTGGTGGGGTCAGGTCCTGGCTTTCCTAGTGTCTGTGGGTAGCTCCTTTGGTTTCACACTCCAGCCTGGGCAGCCTTCTGCCCTCTAGTCTACAAATGGGTTGGGCACTGCTTGACTTATGCACTTAAAGACAAGCCAGATAACTGGTTTGATAGAAGAGAAAGAAGTGCTCACAGGAGCAAGGATTCTGGTTGGGAAGAACTCAAAGAAAAAGGGGTAGAAATGTCACACAGTAGAAACAAATTTCAGAAAAGTTTGATTTTTTAGCACATGACATTACAAAATGCAACCTAGACCCAAAAGGCATCTCTGGCCAAGTTTCACCATGATGTTTAGGATGACTAGGATGACGGTGACAATTTCTGAGGAGTCCCTACCTGGAGGGAGTCTCCTTCAAATCTCAAATCTAGTCTTTCTCCTTTTACAGGGCCTCAGATGCTTGTGTAACCAGAATGGTGTGATGTGGGCTAGAGCAGTGAGGGGTAGTGCATGCTTGGCACTCACTTTACAAAGAGGCAATGGCAGCCCTGAAGGAGAAAAACAGCATGACCAAGAGAGGCAATAAGGTATTGGGAACATGATCATCCTTGAAATAGGAGATCCGGGCTGCTGCCTGTGAGTCTGGGAACATGGGCTCCATCATCAGTGGAAGAAAGGTCCAGAATGCCTTGGCGAATCTTACTATCATTGTTCTTGCTAATTCCTGGAGTTTAAACACAGTGTCAGGAATGTCCACAGCAGGTCACCAAAATGTGCTCAATGAATAAATAAACTGAGTTCAGACCGAATTTCTAACACTCTCATTTAGAACTTGGGTAATACTCATCTAAATTCACAAGTGGTTATTATTCAGTGTGTTCCTGGTCAACACTCTGCATTTTATCTGCATATCCCCCACATAACCAGGTAACAGTATCTGTGCCGTCATCTGTGACAGAGCAGTCTGTAGAGGAGATGGGTAAAGGAAGCAAAATTTATACTTAACATGATGCCTTATGAGACAACCACAGATTCCTTAATCACAATATAAGTAAACTGTTTTAATTCTGTTATAAAATGAATGCACTAAGATCACCGAGGATATATTCAGGTACCTTTGATGGGGCAAATTCAGAGCTTCATGTTAGAACATTCAAGAAAGCAAAGTCCTCAAGTGACATGTACTCTGAGACTGTGAACAATATGATCTTAACATTGTCCTGGCGCTTAATAACTGTTCATAGCAACACCACCACTAAAACCACAAAGGCCAAACCATTTAATTTTAAAGGCCATTTTGGCTTTGAGAGAGTTCAACTACTAGTTTCTTGAGCCCCAAGGGGATATTTTGTATGTTCACCCACTACTTGACACTTGTGTACCACCAGGTCAAGGCAAGATCAAACTGGAACACGATTTTATCATAGAACAGTTTCTTTTGGTCACTTGGAAAGAAACCGCAGGCACACTGAGTTATCACAGAATCATCGCTAGTTCTTGTTACAGCCACGTTACCGAGAAGGAAATGGTAGAAGTAACACTGTCAGACAGGAGTTTTCCGCTGAGCTTCATTGGTGAGTTTATCTTCCCTGCAAGGGATATACTGGATGCCCTTCCACACCATCTTCAACAACTCAAATACCATGCTGTCATAGTTAATTTTATGTGTCAAGTTGACTGGGCCATGGGGTGCCTAGATATTTGGTCAACCATTGTTCTGGGAGTTTCTGTAAGGGTGCTTTGGGATGAAATTAACATTTAAATCAGTAGATTAAGTAACGCACATTGCCCTCCCCAATGTGGGTGGGCCTCATCAAATTAGTTGAAGGCCCAAATATAACACAAGGACTGACACTCAAGTAAGAGAATTTTCCTGCCTGCCTTCAAACTGGGGCATTAGCTCTTCCTGAATCTTGAGCCTGCCAGCCTCTGGAAAGGAACTACACTATCAACTCTTATGGTTCTTAACCTTTCAGATTCAGACTAGAATTTAATCATCAGCTCTCCTTGGTCTATAGTTTGCCAGCTTATCATGCAGATCATGAGACCTGCCTGCCTCCATAATTGCATGAGTCAATTCCTTATAATAAATCTCTTTACACACACACACACACACACACACACACACACACACACACAATCCTTATTGGTTCTTATTGGAGAACCCTAATACATATTCCCAGGTCTCCTCTCTAATTTTCAAGAGCTCACATCCCAATCCCAACAATGTATCTGCCAGATGGGTACTATTATGGCCTGGAACCCTGAAATGAGAGGACAAACAACACAGGGCTGCACCAGAAAGTCAGACATGATTTGTCAGCCTTTATTAACCAAGAGCAAAGCCGAGCCCTAGAGTTTCCTTTTAAAAAAACCCAACCTTGTTTATGGCAAACAATGATTTAATTATATGTTCAATACTACAGAGCAAGAATTGATCACTTTCTAATCACTCATTCTTCTGAGATTAAAATGTAAGTGTAAAACAGTTAAAATAAGATTGTCCCCAATGATTTAAAAACAATTCCAATTGACAGACATGTCAAACACTATGTGTAGAACTCAGGACCAAAAAAAAGACCTTAAAACATTTTACCTTTGAGGTAGCACAATAATGCTGAATTAGATTTCTTTTATTACAATGAGCTTAAGAAAACAATGAGGAATCTACCTTTTGCTCAAGGTGGGCTAAATGGTTTTCTGCAAATCCCCCATGAGGTTAGTGACAGTTTTCTTTTTTTCTTTTTCTTTTTCTTTTTTTTTTTTTTTTACGTATAAAGATAGCCCTGCAGTGTGTAAAAGGAAACCCACAGGGGAAGGCTGCTTCCCATAAAATAGACATTAGAATCATTGAGGAACGTCAGCAGTCAAGACAGGAGGAACAAGAGGTAATTGTAGTGAAAAACCAAACAACTTGTATCTTGTCAAGAATGGTTTACAAGAACGTGTCAAGAACAAAAATTTCAACATTAGCCCACTGAAAACAAAAATTAAAAGATGACGTTCATGGGTCTTTTCCCTTCTTCTCTGTGCAAAAATGCTTTCACTTTTTTGAAATGAGATAAGATTGTTTCTACACTGCGACATGACATGGAAATTTTGTGTGCCCAGGGTGCTGCTGGGCACCAGTGGCACTTCTCACTGACTACCATTGTGAGCAGAGAATCTGGGCAATAAGAGGATGAACATGACCCCTCCTGGCTACAGAGCCATTTCTTGTCACTTTGCTGCTGAATTCACTCATTAAACTGCTCAAAGAAAAACTGCACTCTCACTTGAGAATCTCTAGCACTTATATATAAAGACTATCAACTAAGAGGATAGCCCACGTCAACCCTTTCTTCAGGGAATACAGCCAAAAGAAGAGAGTGGGTATGATAAACTGAGGCCAGAAGGAAGGATAATACTGTAGGTTGGACCTCAAGGCTCTCAGGAATATTCTTTACCATCCCAAACAATAGCTAAAATCCAGGAAAGAGGGCATGAAGCTCTAACCCATGGAAGAGAACAATATAAAACAATTAACACAGGGATCTCTTCCTAATATGCTCCTCCCCTTGAGGCTCACCCAACAGTTCAGGGCTTGCCTGACATAATGTGGACACTGGAGCCCTCAGCTGAGCTTGGTCTGCCACCTTTGAATCTCCATGCTGCAAAGAGAACTGGGACACTGTCAGACTCCTGGCACCTTGGTAATGGTTGTATCCTATTTCACTCACCCTGGTCCTTTTAAGGTCTTCCTCAAGCCAAACCCCCAAAGGGCCCTGTATGCAGTGAGGGTTTGGACTCATGATCTATATATCAATCTGTAGTTAGAGCAGGAGGACTTAAGACTGATGGATTTTACTCTGTAAAACAGCAACCATCAGTGAGTTGGGGGTATCAAAGAGGCTTCTGTGAAGAGGAAGACTGAACTGGGATGTGCAAGGAGGCAGGCTGAAAAGGCCCATGCCTAGCAGCCTGCAGGAGTGACTCTGGCACTAAGCTCACAGCCAGCCCTAACTAAAGCTGGCATGGGGGGTACAAAGAGGGCATCTGCTCAGTAGTTAAACAGTGTCCTCACATAGTTGGGGCCAGACCTCTGTGACGCTCCTAAAGCTCAATGTACCTGCCACTTTTGCAATAAACAGGGGTGATTCCTGTCTGCTAAAGTGCAAGATCTGCTTTCCTAACTTACTTGATAATAAAGCAACACCCTGGAGAAGAACAACCTTGGAAAATCGTGGGAAAAACCACACGGGCTTTCCCAGTGCTAGCTGCCTGTTTTGGGGTATTAGTTACAACCTCTCACGATTCTGAGACCTGCGATGCAGGCTACCTAGGGCAGTGTGAAAAGAGTCCTTATGCTTTCACATCACAGAATGCAAGAAAAAGGGAGAATTGACCAAAGTTGTGGTAGGTCACCCTTCCGGAAATCTCTCCACCACACTGTCCATGGCAAAAGCAGAGAGCCTGGCTTATGTGGACAATGGAAGTGACATGTGGGCTCCATCACTATCTATAACAGGAATAACTCAAGCCCCAGCATGTGATCTCTTAGGGATCTATTGAGTGACACAAATTTAAAAAATAAATCATATTGGGAAGGGCCTCTTGATTTAATATAAACTTGGCTACAACATTCAAATTATCTCTATGCAGCCTTCACACTACTCTTAGGATCTCTTGTAGTTTCTTGATTCTAAGTCATTGTGAAGGAAAAAAAAAATCCATTCTGAAATATATTTAATTAGGATAATTCATCAGCATTCTACCTGATAGAATTAAAAGGCTAAAAAAGTTTTAAAATAAGCTAAATTACTTTCCTCTGGGGTTAATAATTGGAACCCCAAATATCCCAACACCTTAATTAGAAAGGTTTTTACAGTAATTCTATGAAATTGTGAGTAATTCTGATTTTTAAAAACAAAGCGTTGATCTTCAGGATGAATGCCTGAGTCAGCTGACAAACTGATACACGCGAATAGGTCTAATAAGAATTCCCTAAACACAGAAATAATTTTTTTTTATTTCAACAAAAAAAATAGCTGCTTCTTCTTTAAAGAGTTTAAAATTGATAGTTCAACAGCAAAGCTATGTGATAACACCGGAGTAGAAGGAAAGGGCTCTCTTTTTAGTAGTACAACCTCTTGCTGGCACACCGCCATTAGCTGGTAGGGACAACTGGGAACAAGATGGCAGGAGTCGCCCAGGGAAGTATTTGGGTCAGATAAAGTGATGGCACGTCCAGACCCTGGCTCCTTAGAAATGCATAGTGATTCACTCATGCAAACTGCACAGAGATAAATAAAACAAAACAAAACCTACTAAAACAGAACAAAACACCCCAACCCAGAAAACCTTCCCTGGCTCTCTGCTACGTGAAGAATGTGCTGAACCCAAATTTTCTGCTCTAACACAGGTCCTCATGACCAATCGGTGTGCTCTGGTGCACTGACCTGCTGGGCCCTGGGCAGGGCCCTTTCCTAAACAGCACTGTGAGTTTGGAGACAGCTGTCACAGGTATAGCTGTCAGCAGACAGTACAATGCCACAGGACCACAGACCTCGGTCCTACCAGCTGCCATTTTTTACTGTAAAACCAAAGTCTACAATTGTGAACAAATGTGTGGACTTTCTCAAAGGACAAAGGAGAAGATCGAGGGCTACAACATTTCCTCCCTTGAGAAAGGTCGGGGGTGGGTGTCTACAGTTATACACAGGTTTGTGCAGACCTGTGGTGACTTCCAACAGCAACAGTAGCAGCCAGAGAGGAAAGGAAGATGATTACACTTTGGACTTTGTATCAGGCACTTAAATTGTTGGAGAGACATGCCGTTTTGAACCAAAGGTGTGACAACTGGGTTGGAATAATCATTACAAGTGGTCTAATAATGGGCTTTCAGAAGCAAAGTGGAAGGAGGTATGGGTCGAACCTCTGCCCATCTTTTAGTGCTGACTTTCAAGTTTTCTAAATGCCCACGGCCATAGCAATGGCAGTGGCGGTGGCAACAGCAGGAACAGTTCTGTTGTGTCTGTCTTCTGTGTGTGTTCTGTGGCTGACCAGAAGGTTTTGGTGTCACACTGAGAAGGCTCTGTGGTGTGGCACACCTACTGCCCGGGATCGATCAAATCCATGCTGGAGCCAAACATCTTCACCAGTTGTTCCTCGTAGTGTGAGATGTTTCTCTTCATGATGTCCATACACGGCCCCAGAAGCCTCTCAAATGCTTGCACGTCCATAACTGCATTGTTAAAAAGAGGTGCACAAGAGAATGAATTCTCTACATCATTAATTCAAAGTCATTTCCCACATGCAAACTTTTTTTCTTTTTAATTTTTAAAAATGTTTTTCATTTATTTTTGAGACAGAGAGAGACAGAGCGTGAGCAGCGGGGGGGGGGGGGGGGGGGGGGGGGGGAGGGGGGGGGAAAAAAAAAGAATAAGGCCGCCCCCTGGGTGCCGGCACCACACCCCACCCCCCCGGCGCGGACCACACCACGCGTGGGATCAGG